AATTAATATTTTTATTTTATTTTTTACATATTAATAGATCATATATAAGTTATTATTTTTATTTCTATTTTACTATACCAGTCAATAAATCACATATCAAGCTAACTGACATTTTAATCACTGTATATTTCCATTTTAATTGGAAATAAGTGCTCTTTTCTGCCCAAAATGGTGACAATTTCTGGCGTTGATGAGAAGTGAAAGGCAGAAAACTAGCAAAGCACTTTGCCATTTGCTATTTGCGGACGGACACGTTTTATCAGGTCAATCGAATAAAATCAATAATTAGCCGATTGAATATCACGCATACGCCGCATTGACCGCACAACTGTTGACAAAACTGTTGAGCAACCCTTCCCGTTCACCGTTCACGAACTGAACTTCTGCCTGTTTTGGCAATAAATCAGAATTTAATTGGCATCTAATGTGCACTTCGCTTTCGCCGGCCAATGCAGCAAAATGGCCAGCAATGCATATTTAATGGATCAGCATTATAATGACATTATTTCGATGCTAATTACAGTCAACCAAATTGGGCAAAAACACCAGGCAAAAGCCGCAGGAAAAACAACTGGCAATTCGTTTCCACCCGCCCCGGAAAAACCGACAAAATCCCACAGAACGCCACGGCAATTTAATTTTCGGCAAAATGTTCTGCCACTTGAGGCAATTTTAGCATTTCGCCCACACCTCTCCATCGTTTTGGGGCAATCAATAAATCTAATGAAAATTTCTTCGCCTCGGCCTGTCAACAAATCGAACTTGTCCTTAGTATGCACTGGGCGAAAATCTTAGATCGCGGCTTGAAAAAGTGTCAAGAGTGTCATTAAGTTAAATCTTATCGGAGACAAAATGTAATTTATTGAAGGGAATAAAACACTGTTACAGGAAGATAAACACTTTGAAAATTGAAAAGAAAAAGTGAAAATTCAAAGCGACTGCTTGCATTCCATTATTTGCTCATAACTTTTCAATGAATAGTCCGATTTGAAAATTGTCTTCTGCATTTCGTTAGGTATTAATAAACATAACATAATGACATTTAAGCTTTTACAAAATCTGTAAAGATGTGGGCACCATAAAATGTACTATTTATTTATTTTAATTTTTTTTTTAAAAACCAGGGATTATTTTAACTATAAATTTTTGGTTATACGGATTTTCCTTTATGAAATTTTGTTGGCCAGAATTTTTTGCTCAGTGCACGACCACGACCATGTCCTTGCCCATGTCCATTTTGCTGGCCCTCCGGCTTAGCGTGCAATTCAATTAAAGTTGCATAAGGCCATCGGACAATGGCTCCTCCGCGTTCTCCTCCGGACTTTGGCCAAGTGAAATGTTCACTTTGATTTGCCCCCCTTTTACTTCAGTCCCCTTTGAACAATCTGCCGCCCGCATAGTTTGGTGACAAGAATGAATGAACAATGGCTTTGGTGTCCTTGGCAGCTTGGGGCCAAAACATTGGGATGAAAATTAACGATTTTGGTTTTGCTTCCAAAGCACTGGAAGCCGAGAACTGAGAACTGAGAGCTGAGAGCACACACATATTAAATTACCAAGTGGCAAGTCAATTGGCATATGTCAGCGTGCCACACAAAGCACAAATGCAGCAGCACTCAGCCAGGGTTGCCAAGTTAAATGAAGTCAGAAATGTAAATTTCATTTGCCATCCTGAAGATGGTGAATTTTCGCCACCGCAAGAACAGAAAATGGTAAATGGTAAATGGCAAATGGAAAGCCGAAAGACGCAATTAGAAGGCGGCAGTGTGGGCGTGGCAGTGTTGGCGGTGCCAAATTACAGTTACCAGCTGTTGCGCCAAAGTCAGAGGACTTTGTCTACGAGGCTACGGGGGAGAAAACCCCATTTTCCCCCTCCTTCACATCGTAGACCCTTCTCAAACAATTCCCTCTAGCAACATGTGTTTCCAGCTTTCCACCGCACCAACAAAGCCAACGTTTTTGGCAACTGATTCAATAGAAAAATGGAAACAAAGAATATTACAGTGAAATTCTGGAATCTTATACCCTTTGGTAGTAGACTAAAAATATAAATAATAATAATAAAAAACTAAATATCAAAATGTTGAAGAAATTTTTTAAATCAGAAAGGTATGATTTTGTTGTAAAAATTGTGTTTTTGGTAAAAATATGAATTTTTCGTTTTGGTTTTTTTCCTGTAACTTGGCCAAAAATGGTCCTTCACCAAAAATGCATACTGTTTTGAACAGATAACAAAATAATAAATAAATCTATAGCCCTTTCCGTGTGATTTTGGAAAAATAAAATTTTCGTCAATTTTCATTTTTTTTATAAGGGGGTACCCCATGATTTTTTGCAAAAAATTAAAAATAAATAAAATGTCATGGTTTAAATGCCAATCGTTAGGAAATTTAATATCGAGTTCAGAAAGATATGACAATCCATATTCGGACCAATACTTCTATTGTTACGGTAAAAAAACGAATTATTTTTTGGGGAAAATGGGAATTTGCGTTTTTGGTAAAAATGTGAATTTTTCCTTTTTGTTTTTTTGCTCTAACTTGGTCAAAAATGGTCTTACACAATATAAAAAGAATTTATTTAATTAACTAATTTAGATATATTAACAATTTTAATTGAGTTAATAGGGATAGTAAATTGGATAAGAAAACCCCTACTGGCCTCACATACCTTCTGAATAACATAATACACCCTTGTTCTCAACAAATAAAAATGGGAACCATAATGAATTTGTTGGGTAAAATCTGGTAAAACGCATTTTGCGGCAAATACCAAGTAAATGACAAAAGACATAATTTGATAATTAAGTGCACAAGACAGAAAAAGAGAGAGAGACAGATATAAAAAGAGAGAGAGAGAAGCAGCTATCGACAGGGAGAAACGAGAATTTCCTTTGTTTTGTGGGCCATTAGCAAGTGGACTAATGATCTACCGAAACCGGCGAGCTTCTGGCTCAGCTCGTAATTAATGACAAACGCAAAGGCAAACGGGGGGGCGCTGGGAAAATGGCTGGGAAACTTTCCCGGCAAACACTGGGAAATGAGGCAATTTCCCAAAACTCAGAACTCAGAACTTCGGCGGCGGCGGGAGTTCATTCTTCAGTCTGTCAAATAGAGATTCCCTAATTGTCTAGGGGCTCTCGGTTCGGAGGGAATCCAATGTGGATCCAATTGTGCGAATGATATATGCATGGCCAGCAGGCTATAAATCTCTATTGCTCAGATATGGCATTTTAATTGCGACTGACTGCAAATCCATTGCTTCAAAGGGATTTCAAATGGCAGGTGATCTAGTTGATCTAAATCTAAATCTATCGAAATCTCTACCGATAATTTTAACATTTTTTTAGTTTTAATTAACTTTTATTTTAATTTATTTTATTAGTTTTATTAATACAGGTAATATCGATAGTGGTAGAATAAAATCGTTGGTTATTTAAATTTACAAAAAATCCACTCCCCACTGAGTTTATTAAAAAATCCTGCAATTGTAACTTACTCAACCGAATCGAAAGTGATCAACTTGCATGTGTCACTGATTGGTGCGCACATTTAGCCCTCTGTGAAAACCCCCGGAAAATCCATCAAACATGTGTTCTATTCGCCGCTCAATCAAGTTGTTTGGCGGGAAAACTGCTGTTGCTTTTGGCATCGGCCTTTGCATTTTCTTTTTCTCTTTTTTTAGCCAATTCTGCATTTTGCCCAATTGAAAAATAGATCCAGAGGGGATGGGAAAAAGCGGGTATAATGTCGTATAGCGAGGGACTGGTACGAGTACGAGAGTACGATATCGTGGCAGCTGCGTCATTTTGGCATTTGGCAATAAGCAAATAAATAAATAAATCATTTGTGTGCATAGCCAGCGATATATATCGCAGATATGGCCAGGAATTGATATGGTATGTGGTATACGGTATGTATGGATGTACACACCACTTGAAAGTGGTGGAGGAAATGGAACTTGACTGCGTTGACAGCAGGCGGCGCCAAATCGGCTGACTGCCTGTCCACCACCTCCGCAAAAATGGCACACATGGCGTATGCTCGATATGCCTCCGCCTCCCCAACGATTATGATTATGTTTTTCTCTCCACACTCTCACACACTAAACATATTTCATATCGCCTGGCACTTTTATGACTCACACGGGGGGGAAACTATTTTTAGGCATTTAACAAAGAGTCAAGAGAATTTCCATTTTTAAGAAACAAAAAGCAAAAAAGAAGGAAAACTAAACCGTATTTTTAAAAGCATTTTCTTCTTCATATTCCCGATTCCTTCCTTCTTTTCGCTTCTTCGTCGTCGTCGTCGTTTTCGCCTTTCAAGTGTCCATCAACATGTTTGACAAGTGCGCTGATTTGGCCACCTCACTCCAAGGAGCAGAACAGCCCACCCAGAATTGTCTGTGTGAGTCATTATTTGGCCATGCTTGCAATTTCCGCTGCCCAACCATCCCCATCCCCATGCCCATGCCCATCCAATTCCATTATATTCCCGATTCCGATTTCCCCACCCGGAAGTTGTTAGTCGGGCCAGGGCCATGTTGTTTCGCCCAGCTCTCCTCCAACAACCCTAATGAATAATGCAACAGTCTCTCTCTCTCTCTCTCTCTGGAGGGGGGGCTCTGTAGCAGGTAACCCAAAAAATAAAGCGAGAGCGAGAGGCAAACTTTCGCCCAATAAAATATTTAAATCGAATACTTTGCCCAGATAGGGGAGGAAACATTTCGTGGAGTCTGCTTTAAAACTGCAGACGATGATCGCCTGTCCACTGCGCTACTCGCAGAGATTATTATCTTAAGGTTGTCTCATTTGCGCCCTTCTCCGCGCTTCTCATGCTTGACAGCTAAGCTCTGCTCGAGAGTCTGTCAGCAGAAGCAATTTAGATAATGTATTATTTATTAGCACCCTTCTCCGCGCTTCTCACTCAGTACAGCTAGGCTTAACCTACTTACAAGTATTTGAAATCATAAAAGTTATTTTAATAATCCAAATTACTTACATTTTTCAAGCTCAAGAATAGAAATGTACCCTGCAAAGATAAGCCAAATGAAGTTAGTCAAAGGTAATTTGAGATATATTGCAAACAATTTGTAAAATATACAACAATTAAAATGTATCCACAATCCCTGTTGTTGTATTCTATCTATCATGACAACCCCAATCACAGTATTTCCCCTGCCCCACCCTCGATTCGACCTAATGTTTATCAAGTGTTAATCCAGTCCTTTTGGTGCGTAAGCCATTGGTAAACGAAACCAAGAACTAGGTAAACATTTCCCATTTCGGGACAATTAATCAAATATTTTTTCATTGAATTTCCACGAGAGTCAAGCTGGCGGGGGACAAATGTTGAACTAAGCCATATCACATGACCGTGGCCCAGGTTATTCTGGGTCCCGTCCCCGGGGCGTTAATGGGCCAACTGACAGACAGGCCGAATGATGGATGACATGACACGAGGGGGAGGTAGAGGGGTCTATACGAGTTATGCGTGTTCGAGTGTGAGAGGGCAAAAACAAGGCGCTATATGAGTAGTGACTACTAGTGAACCCAGCCCCTACTAAACCCATATATCCCAGCTGATGCCTCTCGCTTGTCATAAATCGCATTTGTGCATTTGCATTAGATGCAGCTCGTTGGTCGCAATGAGCAACAATGTCAAACTTACTGCCGCCATCGCCATCTGCATGCAAATCTGGCCGGGATGCTATGCAAATCCTGTTTTACAGCCACGAGACTACGACTACGACTATGACTATATATAAATGTGCTGTATATGCATGCTGGGCTTAAGACCGAGGTCTGGTCTATATCTATACGGCTATATAGGGACTATATGGCACCATCTTTGGCTTTGGCTTTGCCTTTGGTTTTGGCTAGGGGACTCGGCTTTTATTTTGATTTTATGGCATACGACGGACATAAAATATGAATGGATTAACGCACTCACTCGCACGCAGATATGCACAATGCAGCAGGAGGCGACAAATGTGTCACTATTTAATCCTTCGACGTCCTTTCAGATACTTTGTACAAGCTTTAAGTTTAATATTTGCCTTGGAGTATGTTGAATTTACTGTTATCGCTTTTTGTTGTGATTTTTTTCTTTTCTTACAAATGAAAAATAAATTAGAAAATACAATAAAATTCTAAGACCATCTGACTTGGATTTTCCTTTGAAAAAGTTGAATTGCAACAATGCTTAGCTTAGCCGTGAGGAATGAGAAGCGCGGAGAAGGGTGCGTCAGGATTTTCCATACGCTTTTATTCCTGAGACAGTGTGTTAAAGTCTTAGTTCCTCTCCCTCTCTCTTTTTCTTTAGTTGTGATCGCTGTGTGTGTGTGTATCTGTGTGTGGCGCTTGTCATTTGTTTATTTTATGCCACATCGCCTCGTGTGACATCATTCAATTGACATAACGATGACGGCGCGAACTTATCAACTCGCTTTAAAGGTGAAGCGATGCCTGATGCTTTTCTAGAAATTTTCCTCCTTTTCATTTTCACCATTTTCCCCCACTTGTCACCTTTGCAGCCACGGTTTGTTTACGGACAGACGTCGCAATTTATATATATATTTTTTTATTTTTTTTCAGCACTGTTTCTTTTAAGGTTTTTCTTTTATTTTTGGGTTAACGCCTTGAGCGAGCTGTAAACAAAAACGCAGTGAGTTTCCCAAATGTACATACAGTAGAGCTTCTAAAACGAATAATATTGTTCTAAAAAGTTTTCGTAAAATTAATATTAAAGGGAATTTCGGGAACTAGAGTATTTCTGTTTTGCTTCTAAAAAAATTTCTTAAGAAGACCTCCACTTATTGGAGCTCCACTGTACTTGCACTCTGTGTATTCACCTGTTTCCCTCATCTTTTCCGCCCGCTCTCTTATATTTAAATGAAAATTTTTGTCCGAGCTGCAGACTTCCATGTGCAAACTAATTGGTCTGCCCTATTAGAGGGCAGCGAAAATGGTTTCCCAAAAGGTAAAGTTCATCAAAAACGTGACTGGTTTAAAGTGAACGCTGCGGCGCATAAATCAACAATGAATGTTGAAGAGCAAAACAAAAAGTGTGGGAAAAAACCAAAACAGAAAAGCAAATTTCATACATTTTTTTTTGTGCTTTTTTGTCTGCGTTTTCTGTTTGATTTGCGGAAAACGTAAGACAGGGGCGGCGGAGGGGATCAAGAAAGGGGGAGGAGAGGAGAGCGCAGGCGAGACGAGACCCAGTTTGCAAAGTAAACAAACGGCAAATGAAATGCCGCCGCCGACGACTGAAACTATTAAAAATGAAATGGGCTGTGCGGAGAGCACCCCCTTTCGCCGCCCCTGAAGCCCCTCCCCCTTCACCCTTATCCCTGGACAGTGGGCAACGGGACAGTGGGCCTCACAGACGATAGACGATGCCGCCGTCGGGCTTTTGAATCTATAATGCATATGAGCACGCAGAAGGGGGGCCAGGGACATGGGTGTGGTTGGAGGAGGGGTATTTACACATATGCCTGCATATATGTACAGCAAAGCACATACGCATACACGCTGTAAAGAAAAATGTCCAGCTTGTCCAGGTTTGAAATCACTTTTCAGGGTGCCCGAAAGTATGCAACAATAATTTGTATGCCCTCATCTAAATTGGTTCCACAATCAAAAACTATGCACATTTTAAACTTGACAATTATAAAGAAAAATCTATGCAATTCCCATAACGCCGCCAACTTTTCAGAAAGTTAGACAAAGCCAAAACTCTTGAAGTTTTCACTTTCACCACTAAAACCTTTATCCTCCTGTGAAAGTTTTTCCACACTCTTTAAAGTGGTCACATCCACAACAAAAGTTTTGTTTCAAGTGTAGGTTGTTGTTGTTTTTTTTGTTTATTTGTATTATTTAGCTCAGTGTGCTTTATATATGAGTTTCATACGTTCATATCTCCCCACAGATATGTTCATTTGCATACGCTTTGCACATTGCCAGGTTTTTCCAAGCGTTTCAACCAAACTTGAAGCATTATGATGACCTATATACAGCTGAATATATATGGACGCCAGTATGAAATAAAATGGACTAGTGCGTATCGAAACAATAAAGCGGATCGTTTAAAGCCATCGATGGAAATCACTTTCAAAATGTCAAAATAGGTGTCTAAAAGAATGCAACAATATATTGTTAATCCAAAAGGGACGTAAATTCATCTTAGAGTTTGAAAAAATATCGACAGTTAGCTATTTCTCGCGTTTTCCCTTCAAAATATCGATATTTTCGAATCAAATCGATAATATCGATAATTTTCAAAATCCAATTCATACATTTACTGCATAAAAGCCAGCTGTTTCTATACTTATTTTCAGCGCCCTTTATGTCACGCACTGTACTCCAGCCGCATATAATATATGCAACAGATAACTGCACTCGACGCACTGCACTGCAATAACTGCAATAACTTGGCTAAAAGAGCGCAATGAGCCAGTGTGTTTATGAAATATGCAAATGACACAAAATCGCTGGCACTTTGAGGCATTAAGCCACCTGCCACATTACACTTCTCCACTTTGGGCCCCTTTAAAGACCTCTGATTGCACCCATCGATCGATGGATCGATTGATTTTGTATGTCTGATTATAAGGGCTCAAGTGAAGTCCCAGTCGGAGTCCAAGTCCCAAGTGCAAGGCTAAAACCCTGGCCATGATTGATGGCGGCCAATAGAAATGGAAACCCCTTTAAGTGGCGGAAAATGAGTGGGAATTTGTCTGGGAATCCATGTTAATGCCGGGTCATAAGTCAAGGGCCAAGTCCTCTGGAAATTACCATTCTCGGGGACATCTTTTAATTTGAAAAGAAAAAAAGAAGGAAAACCCCCCCTCACTTATTTTTCCCACTGGGTAAACACATCAGACGAATGCTTTGTGTCCGGCGTTTGCCTAATTTGTTTTTCTTTCGAGTTTAATTTGAAACCTGGACAACAGCGTCTTAGCCCTGGTTTTTCGGTCTTGGCCAGCGCAACAGTTTGCTTAGTGCAAAGACCAAAAGCAAATTTTCCCTTCACTTTTCCAAGAGGGGAAAAAGGGAATGGGGAAATGGGGATGGAGTGGAAAATGCTGGCGCTGCGTGCTCGGAAAATGTGTTTATTTAGGATAACTTAACTGATTGTTGTTCCTGCTCTCGTACCCATGCTGTTGTTCTTGGCCAGTTGACAATTGGCCCCAGAGAAAAGCAATGAGGGAGGGCAGAAAGTGGGCGAAAGTGGGCGAAAGTGGGTGGGTTAGCTGGCTGGCTGGCAGGACAATGGACACTCGAAGGCGCGCCACGTGCACACAAAGCGCATTGTGGGAAAAACAACAAGGCAGAGCAACAGAGCAAACAAAAGGAAACAAGTTGCTAGCTGCTACATTTTGAGCAAGTTTCGAGACTAGAAGATACCTGGTATTTAATGGAAATGCAAGCAAAAGGAAAAACCAACCAAAAGCCATTGTTCTCAAATTTCCAATGCCGAAGAATTGTTATAAAGTTCTATGGCCTTAGCTGAGAATCTCCCTTAAATTTAGGAATGTGTTTTCTAGGTTTTAAAAATTCAAAAACAAATCCCTTGATATTTAGACATTTAAATATATTTATTTATTAATTTATTTCCGTGCATTCTGAATTAAATTACACTAAATTTTAATTTTTTTATATAGTTTATATAAAATCCTACAAAAATGAATACCCAGAAAATGATCTTCTTTCTAAATAATTCTAAAGCACTAAATTAAATTTTGTACTAAATACTAAACTAAATGTAGTACTCTAAATTCATCTGTTTTAACTGTAAGATAAGATTATCTAAATTAAATATTAAAATAATTTCATATTAAATATCAAGACTAAAATAATTGAGGAATTTAATTTATAATTTATTTGTTTTAAAGGCTAATGGATATACCCCGCCGATCCCAACGATTATCGGGTACTAAAAAGCAAAACAAAGTGGAGCCAACAAAACGGCAATGACAACGGGGGGAAGAAATTGTAGCCGCGACCTCCGCGGGAAAAATTCG